TGACAGAGAGAGACACAGCGAGAGAGGGAACACAAGCAGGGGGAGTGGGAGAGGGAGAAGCAGGCTTCCCGCTGAGCAGGGAGCCCGATGCGGGGCTTGATCCCAGGACCCTGGGACCATGACCTGAGCCGAAGGCAGACGCTTAATGACTGAGCCACTCAGGCGCGCCCCCTGGGGCTTTTAAGGACAGCTGGGAAATGCTGTTGGGCTCCGGTGTGTGGCCAGGAGCAGGCCACAGGACATTTGCTGCAGCCCTGCTCTGAGGCACAGGACGGCCCTTTACTGTCTGGAATGGCGGCACCAGGCTGGCATGCCTTTCTGCGGACATCAGAGAGGTCATGGCCACAGGGGTCAGAGCCACTGGCCAGAGAGGCTACTTGTACTTCCAGCCAGGGTGTGTTTTTCTGTGGGGAAGGCGGAGGTGGGGTGTCAAAGCTGCTCTGTTTATAACCTGAGCATGGGCTGAGAGTTAGGGGCATTCTTCCCAAAGGCAAGGGTTCTCTCTGAACAAGACACCAGCCCCACTGGCCCCGGAGAACCTGGAGGGGAAGGAGAAGAGATCCTTGGAAGTTTCCTTCTGTTTCATCTGAATTATGCTCAGAAATAACTATCAGGGAGATACCGTCAGGAAAGACAAATTGTTCTGCATAAGAATCTTAGATCGTTCTCTGATGCCATGGTCTGTGGTAGGTGTGGGTTTTCAGGTCTTCCAGGAGCTTGTATTAAACAGATGTCCTGGATTAAGGATCAGCTCCACGTGATGGAGGTGGTAGCCTTCAGGTTGACGTCTGGGTGCACGGACATTGCCTTCCCTCGAATCCCCCAGAGAGAAGCTGACCCTAACTCTCCTTTATGTTACTCTTGTTTTAATGTCTTCAGTGGGCTGAGAGTTGACTTTTAGGGTACTGCTTTATTTTATTTCTTTATTTTTTTTTTAGAGAGAGAGAGAGAGAGAACACGTGAGCAGGGAGGGGCAGAGGGATAAGGAGAGAGAATCTTAAGCAGGCTCCAACCTTGGTGTGGAGCGCGACGAAGGGCTCCATCTCATGACCCTGAGATCATGACCTGAGTGGAATCCAAGAGTCGGGTGCTTAACCAACTGAGCGACCCAGGCACTGCTATTTTTGAATTTTTTGTGGTAACTTGGTCTTTTTTTTTTAATTGGAGTAAAATATACAGGACATAAAATTGACAGTTTTAACCATTTTTAAGTGTGCAGTCCAGTGGCATCATTAAGAACACTCAGTGTTGTGCGGCTACCACCACCACCACCACCAGAGCTTTCTTCATCCTCCCAACTGATGGGGTTTGGTATGAACCCTGACCCCTGAGAGGTCCACAATCTTGCCCTGTCTCAGCTTCCTTTCCCACAGTGGCCTGGCCATCAGATGGCATCAGATGCCCCCTCCACTTGGGCAATCTTTCTGCTGCTCTTCCTTATTACTTTCTGGTTTTTGTGTTTGTTTTTGTTTTTATTCTCCGCTTCCGCCACACGAGACTGTCCTCTTTGGGCTGGGTTTTGTGCTGAGCACTTTAGACAGCACCTTGTGTATTTCTCCCGCCGATCCTATATGGTAGTTATTAGCATGCACCCCTTCGAGATGAGGAAGTTGCATCTGAGATGCAACATCCCATGGCCACGGGAATGTCAGAGGCAGGGTTTGACTCTGGACTCTCTGATCTTCCTCCCTCGTCTAGGTGGGACTGTCACTGTCTAGAATCAAGCACAGCCAGCCCTGCCTCACACGTTAGTGTCGACCCCAGAAGGTTTCTAGAATCTGGGTATGTATTACATGAACCATCTTCCATTAGGATTCTTAACTAGAGCCTTTAGCCAAAAAGGATTTACTTGAAAATAGCTTAATTACATACCATAGATAAACTGCTAATGGAATTTACCAAACTGCTAAATTAAGCTTTTCAAGTAATTACACATGTACTATAAAGTGCAAGTTTAACTTTGACCATGGGTCCTCCCCAGGCAGAGAGACAACGAATCCTCTCTGGTGGCAGGGGCTTGGTCACCCTGTCAGTTCTTATTCTTAATCATGATGGGTTGTGCTCTTCTGGCCCCTCCTGGTGTCCTGATGGAGCTTGACTCTGCATTTACTCAGGACAAGGTAATGTATCCCTACGGCGTGGTTGTCCTGGCTGCAAATATGCCAGAATGTGTTTCCCGTTTCTCCAGCAGACACTCTTTCTAGCACTTTTATCTTCTGCAGTGTGTCTCTCTGGCACCTTCCCTGCTGCTTGTCATCACCTTCTTTGGACTGTGCTTGCCCCTACTGTGTTGCCCCCCTACTCAGATTTCTGGGGTTTGTCTTTGCTGGGGGCTCAGGGTTCTGGTTTTGGTAGATGTGGCTCCAGTCCAGTCAGCTGGAGAAGCGGGCAGGTGTCCAGCAGCCTTTCACCTCGGCCCCACGCATAAGATCATTTGTGAGTGGCTACCACGTGCCAGGCACTGCTTCTAATCTAGGACTCAGGATCCCCATTCTACAGATGAGGGAACTGCAGCTCAGAGATGTTAAACACCTTGTCTGAGTTCACACATCTAGTTATGGTATAGACACCTCCATCACTGATGCGTCCCCAACCGCCCCCCCCCGCCCGCCGCCCCGCCGGCCTGCTGATCCTTCTGCACCAGACCGGCTCCCTACAAAGGCTAACCCCCTTGGGCTGTGGCGTCTGCTGAATAATGGAACTCTGCTAACACACCTGAAACAGGGGAGCAGAGTCCCCTGACTCCACACTAGGTAAGCTGCTGCAGGCATAGGCCAGTCAGAAATAGAGGGGTGGGGAAGACCAACTGAAAAGTCTGCTCTAGAACTTCTTTTTAAGGAAAGCAATTTTAATACACTGGACCGCAGCTTGAATCAGAAACAAAGACGCAAAAAGGAACTGCTAAGTGAAATGAATGTTAATGAAAAAAATTACTAGGCCTTCATTATGTAATCACACATTGCAAACTAAAAATATTTTTTTAAACACACAAGCCCTATTTGCTGGAGTTAGAAATAGAATAGAGAGCTCTAATTTGTTCTGAATAACAATCATGTTAAACCACATACCACATCTGAATTTTCGGATACTCTAGGGACTCAATCAATGTGGTTTTCCTGAATATTAATGCCACCCCCCCAAACCCAAAAACCTCAACCAAATGGATCCACAGATGCTGACTGAGCACCTACTGTGTCATGCTGGGAGAAAAAGCAAAGGCCCAATACTTGTTGGGACAGCACAGGTGACTGTTAGCAAGAGAGTGGGACAGAGTGGGTGTGCTCTAGAAGGAAATGGGCTCTGGACAAGGTGTCTCAGTGTTTGGGAGAACTGAGCTGGGCCTTCAAGAACGGTCCGCAGATAGATGGTCACTGGGAGTCCTGCGAGGAATGTTCTGTGAGGGTCCTTCAGTTCATTTTAATAGACAGTGTCTGAGGGCCCTTCTGCATGGAAATCAAGACATGCCTTAACCCTAACAATATTTTTAAGGGCTACCTTGTCCTCCTCCTGCTGGTCATGACTGACTCAGTTTACCATCTAAAAGATGTGGGGAGCCAGGACTCTCTGATCCTTCCTCTCTCACATAGATGGGGATGCTGTATATAGAATCAAACACAGCCAGCCCTGTCTGGGCTCATGTGTGTCTACACTTGGAGATTTCTAGAATCTGCACGGATGTGGGAGTGTTATATGGACCATGCTCCATGAGGATGGAGATGTGTTCAGCACCCTGCTGAAGGTTCTATAGGGCTATAGTGTGGAAGCAGGCAGGGCCACCCACAGAGACCCACCCTCTTCGTATGAAGTTACCCACGAGGAAAGCGAACCAAAACAGAATGAGGAGAAGCCCAGGTGATCACTCTTTTAACTGTAGGCCCACTACTGAATTCTCTCATGCCTGCCGCCTGATTTCTTTTCAGCCCTGGTCATAGGACCACAGGTTTCCACATCCGAGGCTTGGTCACGGAGGCTGGTCCGGTCCTTTCTGCCCCTGCCTGCCTGGGTCCCTGACTGGTTCCCGCTCCATGCAGCCGAGCCGCACTCTGTCTGCAGCAGCTGAGTCAGGGCTGGGCGGTCCCAGATGCCCTTTAGAAAGAGATGCTAACTAGCCCAGTGACCGTCATGGCTGACTGCCTTGCCCTCCCCCAGGGAGCACACGTGCCCACTCCCCTGCTCAGTGCAGTTAGCCTAGAAACTCCAGACTCATTGGGCCGAATTCATGCTCCTGAGCAGGCTTGCTTTTTTAGCCTAAAACACGAACTGAGTGACAAAGCCCCACCTCCTGTTCTGCCTTTTCCTAGCTGAATGCAAATGCCGGTCTGATGGGGGTCCTAGTGAGGTCCTCCTAGGATGCAGCTGTCGTAGGACCTGGTTCCCCGGGAGCAGGAGCAGGCAGATGGACAGGCCAGAAAGCTCGGGCAGTGCAGTGGTAGTCTGCAGCAGGTTCATGGCCCTTGCTCACGGTGGTCCTCAACCTCCTCGTTGATAAAATAGCCGCCCTTCATATCTCTGTGGCATGTCATAGCAGTGGACTGAAGCAGTGACAATGTGAAAGCACTCTACAAAGATAAAACCTTTTTTAATCAATTTTTTTTAAGATTATTTATTTGAAAGAGAAAGAGCGAGAGAGAGCAGGGTGAAGGGCAGACGGAGAAGCAGACTCCCCACCGAGCAGGGACCCCAATGCAGGGCTCAATCCCGGGACTCCAGGATCATGACCCGAGCCGAAGGCAGACGCGTAACCGACTGAGCCACCCAGGCGCCCAAAGATAAAACCTTTTAAATGGAGGCTGCTGATGCTTTTCTGCGGCGGAGTCCTCTCCAGCTGTTCACCAGGCTGGGCTAAATTAACCGTTTGCTTCGTAGGTCATTAAAATAAGTCCATGAGTGTCGGCTCAGCCTCAGTGGGGGAATGGAGGCTCAGCCAGTGACCCAAGACCAGGCAAGACTCTCAGGCAGGAGTGGGAAGGGTCCAGGCTGAGTGGCGCCCCAGGGAGCCTGGGTTCTGCTTCATCTGAAACAGCATGGAGACGCCCCACAAGTAGAGTGTGAGTTGGAGGCTTTGTCGTCTTTAAGAAACAATCCCCAGTGTGTCCTGATATCCAGAGGTTCTGCCCTTTGCAAATATTTGCCCGGGGGTGTGGGGAGTAGAGGCAACCGTGGAGAATAAAGACTGGAGGATGAAGGGTATCGGTGAGTGCAGGTGAGTGCGGGTGAGCGTGGTCAGATACCTGTCAGCTTCACTCGGTGTGGATTCAAGTCAACTCATTCACTGAGTGCCTCCCAGGTCCCCGGGCCAGGAGCTGGGACTCTGACTCTCCTCCTTAGCTTAGAGGTGAGGACCCTAGAAGCTAAGCCACTTGCTCAAGGTCAGCAGGGTAATAAGTGTAGAATCAGAATTCGGATGCAGCCGCTTGGACAGCAAATCCCCCGCTCCTAACAGGGTAAGACCAGCACCCTGGGGATGATCCCTCAGGTTGAACAAGCTCTTTGCGCTTTGTACAGCAGTCCCAGGCTCTGCTTTTAAATCTTCACAGCAGAGCAGTGAGGTGAGTATTATGCTGGGTGTTTTATACCCGGCCGTGCATGTTCAATGAAAAGATGACTGTGGAAACACTTAGTAAATTGTAAAATGCTCTACAGACACGATATAATTACTGCCTCTCATTTACAGGTGAGGACAATAAAGTTAGAGGGGTTCAGTGGCTTGCCTAAGGACACGTGGGAACAAATGGCAGAGTAAGGATGCCAGCCCCTGTCTTAGGACTCAGGACTGGTGTCTGTTTCCTTGACACCATCAAAGGAAGATTGGTTCGGGATTTATCTGTCCCCTCCCCGGTTTTGTCGCCCCTCCCTGCCCCTCTTCCCCGCCCCACCCACCAAATGGTTGCCAAATGAAAATTAGGCAGAGGATCTCAAGCGGCCCAAGCTAACTTTTCTTAGCTGCCTTTTCTCTTCGTTTGTAGTCCTTAGGAAACGCGGTGATGTCAGGGGTGGAGTTAGGGAGGGTGTCTCTCTGCATGAAGACTGGGGTGCCGAAGCGGCCCCAGAGGGGTCGTCTGTGTGCTGCTCACTGTCTGCTCATTGGCAGAAGAGTCCTGGGACTGGAGAGTGGGTGACGTGGGCCATTTTGCCCTATGGATGGGCCAACGCGGTTGTTACGACCTCCTAAAATTGTGAGTTAAGCTGAACTCCAGGGTGTATATATCCCTGGAACATGTGTGTACACATGTGGTATTTTAAAAACAAAGGCATCATAGATGTTGGGTTTGAAAGATCTTAGGCTCGAGACTGAAAAGATAACAAGGAGACAGGTGCTAAGCATCTGCTCTGTGGTGCAGATTCCTCGGCTGTGACAAAGTGCCACAGTGTCTCTTATCCCCAAGCAGTGGTAGTCATTCTCCTATTCTCCGTTGCTAACAGAGTCTTCCTTACTTGTTTATTACTTTTGGAAGAGCTAGGAAATTGGGATTTATCTGACATCTTCTAGATGCAGAAGCTATGTTGGGAACATTTGTATGCGTCTGCTCATTTATTCCTTACAACAACCTCACATAAGTGGTATTATTATATGAATTTTTAAGATGAAGATTTAAGTGTCCCACGTAGTAAAACATGACAGCAAGAGATGAGTATAACATGTCTGATTCCAGATCTACGCTCTTTTGTCAGCGGACTGAGAAAATCCATTTTCGTTTTCCTTGTTCTTCATTCCTTCTGTAATCTCAGATCTTCCATCTAGAATCTCTCTCCTCCTATCAGAAATATACCTTTTAAAAATG